TGGATGTGAACACCAGCCAAGACTAGTTTCATCCTTGCTTAAGGGAATCATCAGTTGGCAAATAATCTATATGATTCAATTTTAAATCACAAAATTAAATTATTCTGTTATATAGAAGCAATTCAAAACAGATTAACCTATCTCTTAACGAAAGGACAAATCAATATGCTAGTCTCAACTCTTACTTTTCAGTAATCGATCAAAGTCGAAAAATGATATAATATTATATTATATATTTAAATTTGTGCTTGAATTAAAAAAATGCAGAGTTTAATTTCGCCGACGCGTTTCGTGTTATTTATTTATTAAAATAATGAAACACTCTTCAGGGCTCTGCATTACAAATAAGTGCAAGAGGTAAAATTAGAAATTAGAAATTAGAATACAAATTATAGAAGAGGATAGATGTCAGAAATTACACACTTTAGATACCAGTACAATGAGCTTTCCATTCCAATTTATAGTGTATTTGTCGACAAATAAGTGAAAATTTTTCGTGACGTTTTCATTTATCTACTGATTAGAGCGACTATCAAAAATAGAAAAAAACTGCACTGTTGATGTACTCTGTTCATGTACCTTCTAAATTCGCCACAATTTTTTCCGATGGGTAGGCAATAAACACGACATTATGTATGTCGGAATCGTAAGTGTTTGTGCGATATTGAAGTCTTTTCCAATTGAATCGAAAATTGAAAATTCAGTCAGTCTGTAGTCAGGTATGATTTAATCTTTCTTTATGATATAAGTGCGAAGGATACGGTGTGATTGAATGGAAACAATGATCATAGTCAATAAGCGAAAACTTGCAAGCGATACAAGTGATCAGCATCACATTGATATGCAAGACAGACATGATAGCAGGACAACTTTTTCTGTCCTGCCCTGTCCTGCCCTGTCCTGTACTGCAGTAGACCTCCGTCCTGCCGCTCCACAGGACAGAATTTTTTTTTACTTTCGCCCTGTCCTGCAGGACAGAACAGGGCAATAAGCAGGGCAGAGATGAATAGTTTCTCAAAAGAGATAATTTTTACATAAACATGTAACTATGTAAAACATATTTATAGCTACTTAGCTTTCCTATAGCAATGCAATGTTTTCATAGCTATTTAAAATTTAGATAGCTGTTTGAATAACGGCTGTACATATCCTTAAAAAGTATTCCTCATATTTTTCTTTTTTTACCCCTTGCTCGAAAAAAATAAGAAACATTATATAGATCACTGGATCCCATTCTAATAATAATCAATATTGATTAACACATGCTATTATTCGAAAAGACAATGATTCTTGCAGAACAACGATTCATAAAAGTGTCTTACGCACAAATTTCCAAAAATATAGCAAACAAATCTTGAGGGTGTGGGTGTGGGTGTGTTAAACACTCAAAATATAGTGATTCAAAGCAAAATACGACGCGTTTCGAACCTTGCTTAAAGGTTCAATCATCAGGTATCATTAGAATCTTTTACAACATAAGAACTTTTAGAACTATATATTGAATTGGAAATATTCCTTAATATTTACCAATAATTTCAAATTAATTCAACGAAGAAGCCGAAAAAGACGACAACGAAGTTGAACGAAATTGAAAATTAAAGTTAAAAGGAGTAAATCCTACATAGTTAAAATTTCATCAAGCTAACTACGATCCAGATTTCGTCCTTGCTAAAAGGAGTCATCAGGTAGTTTTGACGTTCGTAACTATCCAAGTGAACGTAAAGCTCATAGATAAGTTACATAATCTACACAAAGTAGGATAAAATTCAAAAGAAAATTACCGAACCTGGTAGATATCGTTACCGAAGTATTCAGTCAAGCTAACTACGATCCAGATTTCGTTGTTTAGATTAGGCAATTGTTGCAGTTGTTACAGTTATGTTCATATAGAATAGATGACATGAATTTTATAGTGGTTGCTTATTGTAACATGATTGGAATGTGTGGGTGTGAGAAATAACCACAATACAGAAATTGTATTTCATAATTATTTATATTAATTATCAAGTGGCCAAGCATGGGTGTGGGGTATGGGTATGGATGTGAACACCAGCCAAGACTAGTTTCATCCTTGCTTAAGGGAATCATCAGTTGGCAAATAATCTATATGATTCAATTTTAAATCACAAAATTAAATTATTCTGTTATATAGAAGCAATTCAAAACAGATTAACCTATCTCTTAACGAAAGGACAAATCAATATGCTAGTCTCAACTCTTACTTTTCAGTAATCGATCAAAGTCGAAAAATGATATAATATTATATTATATATTTAAATTTGTGCTTGAATTAAAAAAATGCAGAGTTTAATTTCGCCGACGCGTTTCGTGTTATTTATTTATTAAAATAATGAAACACTCTTCAGGGCTCTGCATTACAAATAAGTGCAAGAGGTAAAATTAGAAATTAGAAATTAGAATACAAATTATAGAAGAGGATAGATGTCAGAAATTACACACTTTAGATACCAGTTCACAAAAGAAGAAGTTTATCGAAAAGCATAATCTAGAATGGATGTATATGTCGTTCAATTGGATGGATGTTGATCGAAGTCCTTGATATTTTCAATTTCATTTGGAAGGTGGATGTCAATTTTGATCCACTTTGTATGACAGGTTTCTGGATCAGATCAAAGTTGAAGTTAAATTGAATGAAAGTTACTCGAAATCCGAATCTAAATTACTCCAAATCCAAATCCAAATCCAAATAAATCGCTCCAAATAGAATTGAATAGATTCTTCATCTAATAATGAAACGTATTTGGAATAGTTTGTGGTCTTTGTTATATATTTGACTGCAATAGGGATTTTTATAAATGCTTTATAATTTACAATGACTATTGAGTATAAGCTCAGTAGTATAAATTTAATCCAATAAATTTAATCCAATAGTATAAAGGACGTGGGACGTTTTATACAGATTTTGGCTCAATAAGAATTGCGCCATGAGGTGGCTTCAAACTTTCAAATAATGCGCAGCATACTCATAGTAGTCACCCCTGAAAGTTTCAGCCTGATCCGTTAAACTTTTTTCTAGTCCACAATTACACCCTAAAATGCATTGTATTTACTCAATGGTGAGACGAAAAATAGCCGATTATTAAGAACAATAGTCATAGTCTATATTTTGGCTCATATACCATTCGATAGAGAATTAAATTCTGTACAAATCTGTAAGGAAACTTTCTTAACAAACGAAAAATTTTCTTCACGAATATGATAAATACTGCTAAAATCATGGTATCCACAGTCTGTCCGTACAACTCATGTCCTATGGTTGTCCTTCATAGAGTCAAGACCCAAGGAGATTTTTCTAGGATAGATGTAAAGTGATGAGATCTACAATTTCTGTGTACAAATAAAGTAGAAAAAAATATGCCTTGATGGGGTCAATTGGACAAATATCGGAGGAAATCAGACGAAAGATCGTGGATGTGGAATTTTTATATGGTTTATATATAATAGTGACAGTTCTGGTGTCGTGTAGGAACGAAACCGGAAAGTGCATATCCTATTGTACTGCATAAGGACATCCGTGTACTGAAGGAGGATGTGGGGTGTGGATGTCTAGAACACTCCATCCTCTGAACACCCACACCCTTCTCCTTTGATTGTTCGTTGTTGTTGTTGTTGTTTTTATGGAAAATATATAGCTTATCATCATATTTTTGTTAGCACGTTTGTTTGTTTTTCTGAGCCATGTGTGCGGACACACATCTTCTCTAAGGGGGTCGACTGTTACAGGCCTACCCTCACATGTTATAATCTTGTCTCTTTCGTCTATCTAGTCACCCGCCACATCTATCGTCATATATATAAATGTATAAATATATATGTTGTCTTTTCAACAGAGGAGATATATATATATATGTGTGTATACAACATGTTAAGCTAGTGAGTTATCGATTTTAGAATAATCAAAGGGAGAAACATCTAAATCCCTAATACACATATACATTCGTACTAAGATTTTCTTTACTACTATCAATCATATTGGTGTACAATAGTTGTTAGCAAGTAATGTTAATAACATTGCTTGCTAACAACTATTGCACATCGATATGATTGATAATAGTCAAGAAAATCTCAGCATGAATGTACAAATGCACCGAAAAATTTCACAGACATACAAAAACTTATTAAATTTTTGAAATTTCGAAAACTACTGTAATGCTCACTCAATTTGTTCGATTGAAATGCCAGAAAAGGAAGCGTCAATGATTTAAATAGCGTTCTGTCCGAATATGAGAAGTGTCACAAAGTTAATCATCAATCGATTCTCATTTATAAAATATTATCTTCAAGAAAAGTTAATAAAATATTCTGGAAACTTTTGATAGCATTTATAATTACAGGAGCAAAAAGAACTCGAAAAAGGTTATAAAAGACTAGAGAAATTTCGATTTGCTTTCGATAGACGACGTTATAAACTATCTGCTTAACACTGTTGCTATAATTTCTAGTAAAACACATCGAAACTTGTTCTTTTCATAACTCACACAAAACATTATCAAAATGGGTTGAGTGAACATCGACTTGTAGGTATTTTGCTTGATAGTATCCAACTATATATTAGTCGTTCTCCTCTCACGTGTCGACTGGATACAAATTTTCTTGGTCACAAGTCGACAAAGTGATAATTTTGCAACTGGAATAGTTTCACCTTAGTACACTATTGAACCATATGTAGATTGATGAGTAATGTCTGCAATACTCTAAAATTCAAGCGCTTCAAGCGAACGTATCGAATATTCAACAGGGACGTAATGATGAATCATAATAGAGAGAGGGAAAACACTCTCTAGATCGGAACGCGCATCTGGCACACAAAGAACAAAAAAATACAGACGGCAGAAAGGAAAAAAAATATGGAAGACACCAACTAAGTAAAGAAGATCACTTGAAAAAATAACAGATAACAACATCTATGATTCCCACTTCTAACAAATTTCCCTTGTGTTTTTCTCGTGGGTATACTCCCTTTCTATTAGTCAATAGAGGAAAGTAACGAAACTCCCATTTACTTACTTCGAGCAACATATATATACGTACAAACGACGAGTTATCATCCATAACCATAAAACAAAAACTATAGCGGAATACAATCGTGCAATATTGATAGCGTAAGTAGACTATTACTCGTTAAGCTGTATTGTGATGAGTATATTCAAGAGTAATGACAAATACTAGCTATCATAAATATAATATCACAATACACGAATGTTTTGTTGTTGATCAGTTGAACGAAGTTCTTATTATCTTTTTATCAAATTTGTATATCAGATTTCCTGTGAGAATTCAAGTTTTCTAAATAAATACCTTAATTTTCTAAAAGATGTAAGCACGAAAGCTCCATCAGGGATTATTAGTATTTTTTATACTAAATGCTGCTATTTGATGAACTCTTCCAATAGGTTGCATGTAAATTGTATCGACTTTCTTATTCTGAATGTCTTTTTGAACTGCTGTATCTATTTTTCTCATCAATTTGAAAGCCTGTATTTCCAATGAGGTTAAAGAATATATATATTTGTTTAGGATCATCCACGATAATTTATAACTTATTATTTTCAGGACTTTTGAAAAGTGGCTTCCTATTTTAATTTTAAATTCTTTATTACTCTCAAATAACAAAAAATATCTTAACAATTTTTTCAATATTTGAAGTATGGATCATAGCAGTTTTTTTATAGATTAAACAAACGGGCCAATCATTTGATTGTCTTAGATACAGAACAGATTTCATCTGGAGAATATTTCAAAATAACTCATTATTTCCAGAAGTTTTTATTGCTAAATGAGAACAGATACTATAACAATTACAGAAGTATGTAAACAGCAGATACGATGTTTAAGCAATACTGAACTTATGTTGTTCTAATTTCGAGATGTTAAGGAGTTCTTCTTCTTTATTCGAATAGGAATTCGATTTACGATACATGGTTCGTGCTAAATAAGGGAAAACAACTTTTAATTATAGGAATAATCTTCAAATACAGATTAAAATACAACGACAATTACAAAATGATCAATATTCTGCCTATATGGACATTGGTTGCATTTATAACAGTAAATATTTTGACTCTCGACGGTATTAAATGCACTGTGAATTGGAATGGAAATTGGGCATTCGCATGTGATTTTCATGGAAACGATATGTATAGCGTTCGAAGTTCAGGAGAGCATTGCGGTGGAAAATGTGCTAACACTCATGGATGTACTCATTTTGCATGGACTCTGTACAATGGTGGTACGTGTTGGCTGAAATCAGGTCATGTTTCAAAAAGTGATGCTTTCCCAACTGGTCGACATGATATGGTCTGTGGCGTTAAGGATAGTCCAACTCCACCCGTCTTTGACAAAGGTAATATCCTTCATGGTGTTTTGGCAACACGCCATGGCGCTCATGAAGCTGGTGCTTGTGCACTTCCAGCATCAAATTATGCTGTTATCAATTCAGTTGCTCTAGGAAGTATTGGATCTTTGCAATATATCAAGTTTCGACCAGATTTATGTGGTCATGTTTTGAAAGTAGACTGTGGTAATGGGCCATTGGATATTATTATTACAAACTCCAACTATGGAGGAGGACTTGACTTATATGGTTCTACTTGGGGCATGCTTACTAACAACAAACCACCTGGAGAAACCCACTGTAGTGCTCAATTGACTGAACGTAACGCTTTCAACTTTCATGGACCTCGTTGCTTTTACAAGCCTGGAACAGATTATGGTAATGCCTATTACCATAATGTTGGACTTTTGAATACAGGAGGACGAATTGTTACTGGAGCTACTATTGATAATCGAGCAGGAGAGCATCGCGGCGATAATCCTTACTATGCATTCGACTTCGGTCCAATTGACAAGAACAAACAAGTCGTCTTCACTTTTAATAAAGGACCTCCTCAATTCGTTGCTCTGCGAGATTGTGAATACACAGGAAGTGAACAAATGTGGCGTTAAACGTTTCATATAACGATGATGAATTGAAGAGCGGATGACGATCCAAAAAACGACTGGACACCTTCTTCAATTGCGTCTCTTCCACCATCTCCCTTCTATTTTTTCTCATATAATAAAATACCACGGTTCACAATTGCGCCGATGTTTAATATATCATAGAAGTATAATGAGTTTGTGTCAATATTGCTTGAGTGGCACTCGGTATGTTTGAGTGGAAGAACTGAACACATGAAGTGTTTTATAACATGAGTTAGCGAAAAGAAACATTTAGGACGTCATATAAATTGTATACTTAGGTGATTTATACAAGACGAATATTCTAATTAGAGTTATTATTTTACCATAATTGATACGTGTCGTATCACTGGTAAAATTATTTTTCAGAGATCTTAATGTTTCGTATCTCATTGCGAGAATTATCAAATAAGGTAAACGAGTGATTCTGCCAGAAATAAAACTGTATGACATAGTGACTATTTGCATACTTAAGATAGAGTTCGAAGAGATGATGAAATATAATCAATATCGACGGATGATATTGATTATTTTCTTGTGATTATGAATTTGATATGATTAATTGCTGAAGGTATGCATAGTCTTGAGAAATAATTTTCAATAGTCCATGTTCAAATGGACGTCTATCAATCAATAATAATATTCGAACTTTATCGAATTTACTACTTTGACAACAACTAATCATAGAGATGAATTTGAAGAACTGATATGGGAACGGACAGACATGACAGTTGCCTCTATTACTTATACATCTTTTACTGAGGGCAGGCAGAATTCTCCACTTTCTTCTACAAGCAGAATTCAAGAATTCTGCTTATACGAAGGTAAATATATTTACATTTACCAGCGAAAACAGAATTCTGCTTAGAATTCTGTATTGCCAGCAGAACTCTGACAGAATTCTTGAGGGTGTGGGTGTGGGTGTGTAAGTGACTGTGATTGTGGATGAATGGAAGACATACATCGACACTCACACCTACATCCATACACCCTCTCCAGACACACCCACACCCACATCTTCAACATTGAAATCAATCCAGGTCAACAGCATATTTCTAGTCTCTTTAGGGATTGTTTTTGAGAGATATTTGATTGTATGTGTATTGATCAAGAGAATAGTCACGTTCTCGCCCTCATCATCTAGCTCATACAGTGTTTTTTTTGCACATCGTGTAACGACATGTGTATCGGTAGTATGTCCTGGATAAAGAAGAGTATATTATGGATAAATGTAAAGGTGAGAAAAAAGTGGTCGTCTTTCGTCGTATATAAACTCCAAATTTCATGTTTAAAGATTATAGTAAATCATTTTTTACTTCTAGATTTAGCTTGATAATTAATTTATTATATTTAAAATTTTCAATCAATTTATTTATTAATGAAATTTAATTTAATTTTTTCCTTTTTTCGAAATAAATTTTTGAATTTTGTATGAAAAACAAATCTGGTTGACAAAAAACTGAATTGTGCGAATATCGTACGTTTCTTGGTTTATTTTTTATATATTCATATAATGTTTTGTATACATTTTTCAATATTTTGTTTTTCAAACAGAATCGAACAAATTTATAAAAGAAAAGGAAAAAATGCCTGAATTTCATTAATCAATAAATTGATTGAAAAAGCTAAATATAATAAACTGATTATCAAGCGGAATCTACAAGTAAAAACGAACTTGAATTAAAAAATGATTTATTATGAGCTTTCAACATGAAATTTGGAGTTTATACATGACGAAAGACGACCATTTTTTTTCTTTTCTTTACACTTATATCCATATTAACGGGCGCCCCATAATAAATGTCCCACTTTTACACCAATGAAAAGATGTACTACTTATCCATGTTTTTCACTTATTCTTATCTCATATCTTTGAACACTAGAAGAGTAATATACCGACACGATTTCAACACTACAGGTCCTTTTGTAGATTAATGTAAGACATGAAATATAAAGACCTTCGAAAAACTGTAGTACGAATCACTAATGATGGGTTGAGTGTGAGTGTATTAATGAACAGAAGATTTATACAAACACAACCACACACCCTCTTGCAACTAGGCTACTCCCTTTCATACATCAACGATGAGAGGTGGGGCAAACAACGAAACATCACGTCATGCTTTCTTTCGTTGGCTGATATCGCCCGGAATGTCATGTGCAATATCGCTCACACTCCGCACCCAACAACGTTCTTCACAATGTTAATCTTTTTTTATTCCTCAAAAATCAATTTCTTGAAAATAACAATTGAGAATCATATAAACCATGACCGAATGGCTGTATGCGAAAATAGTATTTGACATGCTTTTCCTGTTGAGTACCATATTTACTCTATCAATGAATTATTTTTGAACAGTTGAGTCGTGATGCATCTCGCGTAAAATGGTCGGCCACTTTTTCAAGTAATTCACGATCAGCAAAGAGATAAACATTATTTAGAAAGCATGTTTTTGTATTAAGTAAAGATAATCTTCGTGAGCTTGAAAAAACTGAAGTTCAGTAAGATTATAGTAATTAACAATTGATACATTTTCATCATCATTTTTTGATTTTCTACGTCGTTCATTTGTTTGCGCTTTACGACGGTTTATAGTTAAATTTTTCATAAATGGAAATAATTGAAAAATTTGAAGAGAAAAATCATGTTCGAATGGACGTTTATCAAATAATGATACCGCATAAACACATTTAAATAGTCCACCTGGGAAATTATTTCTTATTTTATTGTAGCATTTTCATTCATATGATATGAATAAATATGACATTGATCATAACTGCTTCCTTGAAAATGATCAACACACGAAATAATTCGATTATATTTGAAATCTTGAAAGGATTGTTGAATATCTTCATTTCGTGACAAATCAATTTCATTATAACGACTATTGCACGATTTAATATTAAATACAAATGAATTTACTCGTGACAGATGATGGATAATATTTGCCTTCAAATCATCGCCATCAATAAATGTGTTTCTATCAGTAACGTTCAGGTAAAAATGACGTTTTTCTAAATTTGACATTTAATAAAACGCGGCAAATGCATATCTAATTCTGATAGAGTTGAAGAGAAAACAGTTAGAGGTGAAGTACCAAACGATAATTGTTAACATTCACTTTACGATGAACCGAAATTTAAATATCGCAAATTAGTAAATATAAGTCGAATAATTTCTCTTGAATCTGCTTCGTCACTGCCAGTAATATCGATAGCAAGTGATGAAATTTGATTTTTGAATCTATAAATTAAAGTTTCATCTAAACATAATTGAAAACTATTGAAACTCGAAGTATTCTTAATATATGCTTCGATCTTAACATAGATTGTTTTAGTCTTTTTCAATTCACGTTGCAACATACAGATCTAATCTTCTTTTACATTTTCTCATGATTTATTCAATCGTATTAACGAGAAATTTTCTAGTATGATGAATTTGAGGTAAAATTTGTAAACAGAATCGATGAAACATTCGATAAGGTAATGAGCAAATGTGATCATCTACAGAATACTCCATCAATCTTAGCACACTAGTAAAACTTGGATCATGTAAAATTTTATTGAATCGTTTATTAACACCTATCAAAGAGTAGAATGCTTCGATATTGTACAGTTGTTTAAAAATAATCATAAAAATTTCATCAAGTAAATCAGCTAAGTGAACACATGAATATTCCATTTTCATTTTTTTTTCTATATTGTTGTATTTGATCAGCATCGTCAATGAAAATTTCATTGATCTAAATTCATAATGAATGAATGGTCGGATAACATTTTGTTGCACTTTTAAACTCGGTCAAGAGAATACCAAAAAAAAAAACTAAAGCAAAGCTGATGATATTTTGAATTAATCTCAACTTTATTTCACGAATAACAGAATGTAGACGACTATTTTTTGTTGCAACATAGATAGAGTAATGTGGGGCTATTGAATAAGCTTTATATTCAAATTAGAAACTCGTGACTGCTTGGAAAAAACTGTTTTCAATTTCCCACATTGAAATCAAGTTAGGGGTGACCCCTAATGGTATTTCAAAGATTGATTTTGTGACAGGTCTCCTGGCATTGGTCAAAAAATGACTTTGGAGATTTTTAAAAACAAAATTGATGAAAAGATTCACAATACACATTGCCGATATTAAATATTAAGTCCCAACGAATGTTCATCCATTGGTTGGCCCATGGGCCTGAAAGGGTTACTGGTTTTTTCTTTTTCATAATTTAATTCATTAAATAATAGATGAAAAATGGAAATATCAATCAAAGTGTTTCATTCACTCATTGAAAATTTGCTTATGATGTTAGATTCTGTGTTTTTCCTTTCAAGTATAATCATCTTAAAAATAGCACTTTAAGAAAGTGCATGCATTTCTACCTTTCGTCAAGAGACATGTCTTGTATGTCGTTTCGACTTTAACCATATTGAGAGAAATATTTGGTATGAATGTTCTTCGGCCGCTACTCTCACTAAACAAGATGTAATAAATCTATTTCATTCTATGTATTCGATATCGCGAACATGTGATATTTCTGAGCTTTTACAATCGATTATTTTTTTGATTAAAGTTATATCTATAAAAAAAAAAGAAGTATTTAATTTCTATTTTTCATAATAGATATGATGATTTTGATGAAAATTGAATATAATGCAAATGATAGTTGAGAAATTTTTTATTTTTAATTCAGTTCGAATGAATTAACTTTTGAAAATACTTTATTAAAATCTTATCTAAACTTGAGGATGTGGGCCGTCAGAATACCTACATTTACATCCACATGCACATCCTATGCGACAATAAACTATTATAAGAATAAGAAAAACATGAATAACTTCACTGCAAGACTAAAACTGAGTGACATTCAAACAACATAGATCGATTACTATTTTCAATTCAAGTAATGCATAACTCGAAATAAAAAAGAATATTTCTATGTACACATATCATACAGCGAGATTTTGTTTATTAAAAAACGTTTTTTTTTATGTAAATACAAAACTTCTTACTTTATTTCAGAGAACAAGGTATGTAACAGTCACGATTGAACTCTAAATAATACAACAAAGATTCTGCAGATAGACACATTTTTGATCCCATATGGCAAGTAAATTGTTTCCGATTTGACAAATATTCGAAGGTGATCGACATTTCTTGTCAGTGCTAATAAGTTTACCACCGGAAGACATGTGAAAGATTCTAGAATTTCTAAAAGCAACTACGATCCACTGATGATTAAGCATTGGACAACAACGAGTCGCATACATCGAGCATACTTCGTCGAGTTGTACCGACCATAGACAATTGAGCGTCATTGATGAACGAAGTTCGAAACAAACCGCATTGTTTTACAGCGACCTATGGCCAAACCGAGGAAGTCATTGTGAAACTTAAGATCTTCAATCCATTCATTATGCGTACATGTTACGGGTGATTTCCACTCTTTAAGCAATACAATCGATGGCATAAGAGTGTATTCGAAGATGGATGATCCAATTCCTTCTGTTGATAAATAAAGTTTAGTATCTGAACATGTCCCACGTATCCAGTTCACCGTATCGGGCGTGAGGCATTGTTCGAGAACCATTGTTCTTTCGTCTAATATGAAAACGTATTGACTGTTAATCACAATAAACCGATTGAGTACTGACGACCAGCAAATATCAGAAATATCGACAAGAGGCCACGGCGTCTCTTTAATAATAGTCAATTGCCGATCGAGTAAACACAGAGTAGGTTCGCGATGTACTAATAGATGTTGCTTGTTGCCGGCCAACACAGCATATGAAGAATCAGTCAGCTCAATTGCTTGCTTTGAAGGTGGAAAAGGTAGAAGATCTTGCGAGCGTCGAACCATGAGATGTTCATCGATTGAGAGAGGACGAAAATTAAATTGAATTTTATTTATATCTTGTTCAATCCAATCAATCGATGTTTTAATTGAATTCGTATTTTGTTGTGTTACATCTTGCACACATGCTAGCTCTTCGACGTTGGTTCGTAAGCGATTAAGTTCTTCCAATCGACTGTTGATAAAGGTTTGACGCTTTTCGTTACAGAAAGAATCAAGTGTTTGTTGAGATTCAATACGCCATTGTTCGAGAGCGCCCAGAAAAGGCTGTTCGGATGAACAAGTACGACTACTGAGTGTATTTATTTTTTCAACGAGCGATATGAACTCAGTATTTAGTCGATTTGAATGTTCGTTAGGATTCATCCTACAAATATGTAAATAGCGTTTTTGTATGTATATGATAAAATATCACAGAGGTGAAATGAAGATAAGACTATTTCGAGCTGACTATAGTGTTGCTTTTTCTTTTTAAAGTGATTCTTATAGAACGATCATTGTACGCTGACGCCAATCAATGACAATGAGAAAATAGAGAGTCGTAATATATGTACATTTCTTTCGAGCAAGATAAGCTATATGTATTCATTTGAAAACGTTTTCTATGTTCGTGGAAGATGATAGTGTAAACATGTACAAAGACCTTTCAGATAATTTTAATCCACTCATCTTTTTATTTGAAAAGCAATCAAAATTGCACTTTGCATAATATATTATAATGGATAAGCATACATTTTAGTGTGTTGAAATTTGATTTATTTTTTAGATTAAAGCAAAATGAACCTTAGACACATTCCACTGTCGAATTGAAAACGATAGCAGTATCTAAGATGGAGGTAAGATTGCCGCAATTCGTCGTTTTTGTCGTGGGTCGATTCTTTTTACTGTGCTCCATAGTTTAGGTGAAGTACAAAGACACACGAATGCCAATAAAAAGACTGGAAAATAGCTGAAAAAGAATAACGTTGGTACGATTTCATGTGCAAAATTGGGTTGACCATATAGTTGAACGATATAGATAGTTCCCAATGGAAAGCAGAAGCATAAATATAACAGTGACGTACAAACGAGATTCACGGCTAGTTTCCATTGTTTTCGCCACTGAATTTGCCCATGAATTTGATATTTTTTCCAAATGACACGCACAAGTAACGCTATGCTGAAGATTGCGATGAGAGACATTCCTATGATACCGAAACCCAACTGTTCAACTGTGGCAAAGAATGGTATTAATTCGTAGCATCCGTACAGGCCGCACAAATCTATCGTGTAGTCAAAGGTATTTTCGCAAGGCGGTGCAAATATTGCAATGCTATAGAAAAGCATAACCAATATTATAATCATAGAAAGAGGAAGGTAGTGAATGAGGAGACGTTTCCGGTGTGTGGCTATTAGTTCGGTATGAAAAATAAGAATGTGCCGCTCAATCACAGTCCACAGAAGTAAGGTCACATTGATGAAAAAGAAGCCCCAATCAATAAACCACCAGATGAGACAAAGAGTGGGCGAAGCAGGACGAACGATACCTGTATGAAAATATTGTAAATGCAGGGGTATATCGACCAATTGATAGATGAGATTGAACGAAAGCATGATGATTGACGCATGGTTGTACAGTGCTTGACGCAAATCTCGTTTCATCAATAAGTGATAGAGGACGAGAATGGAACAAAGAGTAGAGAACACGTCAAATACAAGGAATACCCAGAAACGCAGAGTTCGATCTAGTTCATAGTTCGGAATCGATATATTTGAATAGGAGATATTGTTTTCATCTGTCGACACCATTAGGACTATTACAGTGTTCGATTCATGGTTTAGATTAAGTTCATAATAACAGATATCAACTTGAAAAATGAAAATAATATAGTTCGGACACTCGTGAATACAATACAATCTTGGATTTTACTTGAAGAAGGCTCCTGTAAAACGAAGAAGAATGACCAATTATCAAACACCCCAGATCGTGGACGTACGGCGGGAAACGGCCGGAAAGCACAGGAAAGCGCTGGAAAGTGGAAGCAGTATTCCAGTTGGAAGTTACCGGATTTTCTTCCTGTAGATTCCGATCAACTTCCAGATGTAAAACACAGAAAACTGACCGGAAAACACAGGAAACTGACCGGAATCCACAGGAAAAAATCCGGTAACTTCCAACTGGAATACTGCTTCCAGTTTCCAGCGCTTTCCCGTGCTTTCCGGCCAGATACGGTGATTTTTCCGCATCTTTCCGGCCGGTTCCTACAGTATCCGTCCTCCGGAATCATTGACCTGGGACTTCGTTCAAAACGTGTTTTTCATTCTGAAACCTATATGAAAAGGCATACTAACAGTGACAGCGGCGCTCTTTTTGCATTACTTCGTTACTTCACCATTTCCAATTGACGTTTCCCATCTAGTCAGTGATATCATCGAATCTGTATTTTCATATACAAACTATAAAAGTGTCATCTAAGTAACTAGTTACTCTGATCTTAACAGCCATAGAAATAAAAGCTCGATGATGCCACCTATCATACGACAAAATAACTTTGTGGTAGGCGTTTTTGAGACACCCAATAGATGTTTCATATCCATCTCTGAAAAATAGTTACTTGATGGCAACTTACAGTAATTCTCAGGGCTATGTTTACGTAAAAAAAGCTTAAAAATCGACTATAATGGTACTGTTATAATTTGATTTTAATCAGATCTTACTAGCTTGAAAAATCTAATTAAAGTCAGATTATAATAACGCCACTACAATGAACTTTTTATCTGACTTTTAATCGTTTTTGTTCACATAAGTAGATTGCTCTCTCAGATGATACTAGAGTTTTGAATCCTCAAAAGTTATTTACAATTGAGTCCTGCAGGTTAAGACTTTTTTGTACCCTAACCCTGCCCTATCGTAAAACTTCGTACCCTTGTCCTGCCCTACACTACGAAGTTCTTACCCTAGCCCTACCCTATCACAGAGATTTTTCATTTTACACCCTATCATATCCTTAGAGTTTCAGGTCCAAGTAAAAATCAGCATGAAGTTTTTCTTCACTTTGTTTCAATAAATTTTATTGATTTTCAACGAGAATCAAATACAAAATTAATACATATTTCGAAAGTTTCTTAAGAATAAAATGTCATTTACAACATCAACACTTAAATTTTGCCTTCTTTTTTCCAAAACTCGCCCGTTTGTACTAACAACACATTAATGTCGAGATGATTTCGAAGACATTTTTTATTACATTTACATGCATATTTACTAGACAAATAATCAAAAGTGACTGAACTCGTCAGCGTATGTAAAAATAGTACTAAGCAATAGGCCATTGTTTTCCGTTCGTTGTTATTCTGCCCATTCGATTTAGATTATGATATCACTCACTACACTGTTTTTGATCAAAAAGATGTCAGAAATATATATTAAGTTCTACTCTATAAAATTTTTATTTGTATGAGCTAGACCCTACTTATACCATAAATATTTTTTTTGTAACCTTACCCCGCCCTGCCCTACGAGCTTTGTACCCTAGCCCTACCCTGTCCTGCAGGGCAAGGTTGACCTGCAGGACTCTAATTTACAATAAGCGAATGAATAAAAGTGAAGCAGTGATTGTCCCTTAGTTAGAAGATTCTGTCTATTCTTTTTCTAATCAGAAGCCTAAACTTCATGTTAAAAATGTCTAGCAAATCAAATTGGTGGATGAATATATTTTCGACTAATATGATCCATGCAGTGAATGAAAATACCGAACCATTAACAATCTAATAAGTTTCCTATACTTAAAAAAACTGCGACCACCATAGCAATTACTAGGGGAATTACACGATTTACTGCCGTTGTAAACAATTGTTTACATATGCATTTTTTTATTTTTAGGAATTTTTAGGAGAGTTTTTCTGTGGTAAATTATATGATTATCTTAGATAATTCTAATGATCACAATAGAAAACCTATTTAGATTTTCTATGTCATAAGTTTTGTTTTTATCTCAAGGGTTTATTTCTCATATCAAATGTTCGTTAAAATATGTTTATGGTTGTCTATAGTTCGTGATTGAATAAAAAGATTTAACGAAAAGTGTATTTTTTAGCTCAAAAGTTTATTTTTTATGTCAAAAGTTCGTGAAATTACATTGAAATGTAACTATAGTTGGTAGTTTACTTTATTGCTTAAGAAATATTTTAATTCTCTAACACAAAGGTTTATTTTTCATGTCAAGCGTTCGTAAAAATGTATTTAAGTCTATCAATAGTTAATAATCGAATACGTAAATTGAAAAGGAGGTATTTTTTTAGCTCAAAGGGTTGTTTTTGTTTTTTAAATGATTGCAAATGTTTGTTAAAGTAAGTATATAGTTCGCATGTTATTTTTACTCCAATCTAATAATCTGATTTAAATTTTAAATATTTCTAGGATTCTCTAAAAAAGCGTACCAAATTAGATACTTCAGAAAATTCAGAATTTCACGAAACGAACTATTAACGTTACGTTTCTTATTTCTTAATCGTCTATTGTGATCATAAGTGTATCTGAACTATAATTCATATAACTTACCAATTTGAATGAGCAAGTGCCCATGTGAAAATTTTGTGCATTCAAACGCAGAGCTGAACGCGCTACAGCTGCGTTTGAAACGATAAGCGCGAAACGCGTTGAACGCAGCTAAAATGAAACATCTGATGTATCTGAACGCGTCTTGTAAACGCATATGGACGCATCTAAATGCTTGATGAAAGATCTGATGCGTTCGGACGCGTTTGAAGAAATTTAGGGAATAAGTGAACATCTTGTTCTCGCAGATTCGTGCTAAAGCACTATCATAATCACATAATGATCAGCTCTTTCACAGAGGTATAATACAGAACAAGGAATTTAACTTACGATATGGAAGAGAAGTGCGGTGATGAAGGCTAGAACAGAAGAACTTTGAATTATAGAAGAAGTTACTTATCTCTGAGCTATATCTCCTTGTCAGATTGTTTTTCTTTCAACGATATCTTGTTAATCACTTACAACCAACATGACTAGTTGAATGACAGAATACAATTATTAAAATAAAATAAGAACTATTTTATACTAATATTTTTTATTATAAATAGTCGAATCTTACATGATGAACTATCTAGGATAAAAGTAAACTATTATTTGATATTATGCGCAATCATTATTTATTTATTTTTCGGAATAAATTTATAAAAATTGAGCGAAATTAATTTTTCATAAACTAATGACTTTTTCTGTGCATCTATTGGAAAAGTTTACCACTGTATGACTATAAGCTTGCTATAAACTTTTTAAGATTAAAAAAAATAAAATATGCTGAATCTCTGTATATTACTTAGCCATTTTAAATTTATCTGTAAGATAAGACAATAAAAAA